TCTGCCTCCCAAGTTTGTTTTTATTTATGTATGTGTGTGTGCCTGTATGATTTTTTTTGTACCTTGTGCATGAAGGATCTCCTGGAACTGGAGTTACAAGCAGTGTGAGCCACCATGTAGATGCTGGGAACCAAGTCTGGGTCCTGTCTTCTGCAAGAATACTAAGTGCTCTTAGCTGCTGAGTCATCTCTCTAGTCCCATTGTCTGTGTGTGTGTGTGTGTGTGTGTGAGAGAGAGAGAGAGAGAGACAGAGACAGAGAGACAGAGAGAGAGAGAGACAGAGAGAGACAGAGAGAGACAGAGAGAGACAGAGAGAGAGAGACAGAGAGACAGAGAGAGAGAGAGACAGAGAGAGAAAGAGAGAGACAGAGAGAGAGTCTTGTTCTATAGCCCTGGCTTGGTATTTGCTGTGTGGCCCAGGGTGACCTTGACTCAGGATAGCCCTTCTGTTCTAACTGCTGGGTGCCAGGGTTACAGGTGTGGCTCTGCACATCTAGCTTGCTGGGAGATACTGCACCAAATATCTTAGGCTTTGATAAGCAGGATTTTTGAGCAGAGGCATCTTTCGGAGATGTTCTCAGAAGACATGCCAGGAATCACAGACAAGGGGCATGGAAGTTTGCTCTGGCTCAGGGAATTTTCCAAGGCTCTTTTTTTCACCTGCCTGGGCTAAGGGCTTTGTTAGCAGCTGTGTGCCTCAGGTAGGTCCGTAATAACTTAGTCACCTTCACCACTTGGAAAATTGTCTGAAGCATGCCTAACTCACCCAGTTGTGAGCATGATGGGGGAAGTCCTTCTGTGTATATGTTTGTCTTATTGGTTGATGAATAAAGCACTGTTGGCCAATAGGGAAACAAGATAAGTGGGACTAGGAGAGGTGGAGGATTTTGGGAAACAGAGGCACAGTCAATCAATCACCATATAGGACGCAAGAGGAGTAAGAGGTCTGGACCGTTTCTCTGGTAAGAGAAGACCATGTGGAAATACTCAGATTAGCAGTTATGGGTTAATAATTAAGTCAGAGGTAGCCAATAAGAAACCGTAGCAGACAGCCAACAGCTCCATAATTAATATAGCATCCTGCATGTTCCTTTGGGACTGAGGTGGTTCTGGGAACAGGCTGGTGGGAAGAATGCTCGCTACATGAGCATATTTTTATTTATTTATATATTTTTAGACAGGGTCCCATATAGTCCTGGCTGGCCTAAAACTATGTAGTTGATGGCTGGGTAGTGGTGGTGCACGCCTTTAATCCCAGCACTGGGGAGGAAGAGACAGGTGGATCTCTGAGAGTTCTAGGACAGGCTCCAAAGCTACACAGAGAACCCTGTCTTGAACAACCAAAACCAAACCTATATAGTTGAGGTTGACCCTGAATCACTGCTCTTACCTCCACCTTATAAGTGCTGGAACTGAACTGCAGGTATGAAACACCACTTCCGGGCTGAGCACACTCTTTCCGCTGCCAGCAATATCTGCATCCCAGGGACCCCTGGCTCATTGGCAAGGCTGTCTGAGACTGGTGCTTCATTCAGTGTCCTCTGGGGAGATGGTTCAGTGGTTAAGAGCATTTGTTGCTCTTGCAAAGGACCCAGGCTCAATTTCCACTATCTACTTGAAGGATCATAACCATCAATAACTCTAGTTCCAGGAGACCAGATGCCCTCTTCTGAACTCCTCGGACACCAAGCATGCTCATGGCACACAAACGTATATGCAAGCAAAGCAATCATATACATAAAATAAATACACCTCTTTAAAAAAAGGTCCTAGTCTAGTGCCTTGGGAGACAGAGATCCAAGTGTGATCCTGATTTCATCTCTAAGCAACCTTTTGTCAAATCTTTTTACATTAGCAGTTCTCAACCTATGAGTTGCAACCCCTTTGGGGGTGGATCAAACGACCCTTTCACAGGGGGTCGTCTAAAGCCATTGAAAAACATATTTTCATTATGATTCATAACAATAGCAAAATTAGTTTTGAAATAGCAATGAACTGTATTAAAGGATTACAACATTAGGAAGCTTGGGAGCCACTGATTTATATGGTTCACCCTGAGTTCCATGTGCTCATACTGTACCTGTTATAAGGTAGTTGGGGGCTTCAACAAAAGAAGTGTGGTAGCCCATGCTTGTTTGTGTTTTGAAGAAGAGCCTCATGATGCAGTCCTGGCTGCCCTAGAACTCACTCGATTGAGAAAGGGGGCCTCAAACTCACTGAGATCCACCTGCCTCTGCCAGCCAACTGCTGAGGTTAAAGGCGTTCACCATGCGGCCTGACTGATAGCACACGCTTTTAATCCCAGTGCTTGGGAGGCAGAGGCAGGCGGATCTCGGTGAGTGGAAGACCCAGTCTATCCAGCCAGGACATCAACCAAACAACAAAACGAGCCTGTATGTGCATGGCTGGGTGGTTACACCAAGCGCCTGCTATTCACCTGGCACTCCTCCGTATTCAGCACTTGGTGCGCCCCAGAAAATGCATGTAAGGACCACTTGGCCGCCCATCTTCAAAGGTGTCAGAACCAAAGCTTCGAGGTCCAGCGTCCTGCCTGAAATCACGTCATGAAGCATGGATAGGGCAAGAATTCAAGCTGAGGGAGACCTGCTTGAGCTCTGCGCCCACACCTCCTGCAGGAATCCATCCATTCCCAGGCAGTGAAACTCCAAAGCCAGCCCCAACTACCCGAAACTCAACCACAGAGAACTGGCTCTCGGCCCCCTTGCTGACTGCTGGCTCCCTTCATTTCTCCCAGCCCCACCCTGCCACCTCCATCTCCCTCCCTGGCCCCGGGGCCCTGCTTGGGCTCCAAACCTGCTCAGCCACAATTCCTTCCAGGTTCCCTCATCTGTAGAATGGGGATGCTAAACCGGCAGTTTTATTCGGTTCAGAGGGGACGCTGGAGGTGCAGGGCTGGTTGGTAGTCCATTCTAGATACAGACCAGTGGCCATGGTTTCCACTGATGCCTCGAAGACCTTGGTTACAAGTTGAGTGGCAGCTTTATCTAGATGGGGAATGGAGGTTCGGAGAGGTTGGGCAACAGCTGCCCAAAGTTGTTCAGCTAGGAAGTAGGGGCAGGGCTTTGTATACAAGCGACACCCCCCCAGGTTTTCTGATTTCAAATTTTACTCACTACTGCCTCTCTTTGCTGGACACATGAACAAGTCATAATATTTATTAACCACCTTCTGCATGACAAGTGAGGCCCCATTCAAAGAGAGATCTGACAGAGATCACAGAGCTTAGAAGGCAATCAATGATTTATAAGGCAAGAACGCCAAGTCTTGCTTGAGGCAGAACACAATAAACATTCAAAGGGAGTAAAAGGTCTTCTGGATAAGAGGGGGGAAATGGGCAGGGAAGGCTTCCTGGAGGAGAGGTTTAAACATCCTTGAAGGACCAGTGAGATATATAAACTATTTATTATTAATTGTTATTATTATTTTGGTTTTTCAAGACAAGGTTTCTCTTTGTAGCCCTTGCTATCCTGGAACTCATTCTGTAGATCAGGATGGCCTTGAACTCAGAAATCTGCCTGCCTCTGCTTCTGCTGGAATGAAAGGCCTGGGCCACCACTGCCTGGCCAGATCTGTGTTCCAGAGACAAAGTCTGACAGCTGCTGATTCCCGAGGCTTTGTGGACCACGCTCTATGCAGAGAGCTTTGCATGCATTATCTCATGAGATTTCTCTGTGATCCTATGAGGTATTCTTAGGGATGAGAAAAAAACAAGACCCAGAGAATTGAGAAATCTTGTCAAACAGCTTTGGAGAAAGGGTTAGGGTGTGAAATTAGGAATGCCGGGGACAAAGCCTGGGCTGCCAGATTCCCGAGGACCTAATGAGGTTTTAAACTGGAGACTCACTCTGGAGGGCTTTGAATGCCAAGGCCCAAACTTGAAAAGAAGAAGAAAAAAACCCACACAGCTGACCTTGAATAGGCCAGCACCTGCTGCTGCCTCTGTCACTCGCCGCTGTCCAACACTTTCCCAGCCTCTTTAAACTTGAGACACGTGAACTGTAAGTGGACGTTTATGAACGAGGAAGACTATTGAGGTGAAATAAATGTTTAGGAGAGCCCTGGAGGTGTTTAACTCAGCAAGAGCACAGGGTCCTGGGGAAACGACTGTCCCCAACTGACTCGGGACCCTCACCCCTGCTGTGCTTGCAGAGGGCAGGCCAGAGCTTGGGAAGAGTCCGGGAGGAGCCTTTGCTAGAACAAACAAGGACACCCAAGCTGGACTATCCTAGATTTGACAGCCAACTCTCAGATCAGCAAATCTGTGAATGACCCTGGGCAAATTACCCCGCCCCTCTGACTCTCTAGCTTGCCCATCCCACTTCTCAGGGTTGATGGGTAAATTAAACAACATAACACACATTATGGTCTAATCTTGGTGTACTGTACTGGGGTACAGTAGGTGCTCAATAGATGTTAATTAGTTCTTCCTGAAGAAGATAAATCCTGCCCCTCTTCCAATTAAAGGAACAGGTGTCTGGCCTTCATTCGAAGAGGAACGGAGATATACTGGCTATATTAATTAATATATTAATAAATGGATATAACATAACTAAGCAACAATGCAAACAAACAAAAGTTTTTGTGGCCTGGAAAATTCACTGAGTGTCAAGGCTCAAGTCCAGACTCTGACTTCCCTTAAGTGTTTGGCCCCACCTTCAGGGACCCGGGGCCCATTCCTCAACGCTATTCGCTGTTCTGTCGATCGCAACACTGGGAGTCCCAGAAGCACCTCATGCCTCAGTTTCGCTGGAACCAAGAGGACGCTTAAGTTAGCAGATGTCGCGGTCCCTTTAAGCCACTAAGCTTCTGTTGTAATTGCTGTTTCTTAGACTAAGCCTTTCCGGGGGCGGGTGGGAGGGTGGAGCCTGTATATATTGTAGCAGCCAATCAAAGCCCGGCATTTTCCGCGGGAGATCCGAATTTGGCGGCACGTAGTTTGGCGCTAAAAAAAAAAAAAAAAAAAAAAGAAAGGAAGAAAAAGAAAGAAAGAAAAGAAAAGAAAAAAGGAGCCCGAGCAAGGGCCAGGGACTAGGGTGCAAGCGGAGAGCTCAGCGGGGCGTGCAAGACACCCCTCGCGGGTCAGAGCACACGCGTGTCCGCGGAGTCCGTGGGCATCCCGGGACGCTTTCCCGCGCCGGCGCGATCCCGGGATCCCAGACATTCATTCGGGACACGGGCCGAGCCGGGCCAGCCCCTGGCAGTGGCACCCGCGCCACGCGATCCCCGAGCAGTGATCTACGAGCTCGGCGGCGCTGGGCGGCGGGCCAGGAGGGGAGGGTCCGGCCTTGCCCCGCGGGCGTCCATTGGCGGCTGCTCCCGGCGTCCGCGGCGCAGCCGGCTGCAAAGCCCGCAGGTGCCCCGCGCGCGCTCGCCAGACCCGGGTGGGTAGGGGGCGCCGCACTCGCCATGCTGCGCGCGCCGCGGACCCTGGCTCCGGCCACAGCGCAGCCCACAAAGAGCTTGCCCGCGTTGAACCCCACCGAGTTGTGGCCTTCGGGTCTCAGCAGCCCCCAGCTCTGTCCGGCCACCACCACCACCACTACGTACTACACTTCGATTTACACGCAGACGGTGCCTTCCGCTACGGCGCTGGGCACCTGCCTCGACGCCACTCCCCACGGACCCGAGGGCCAGATTGTGCGATGTGTGCCCGCAGGCCGGCTGCCGGTAATGCTGGGGACCCCCCTCTGTGCTTCCCATATGCGTGTTTGGGGTGGGGGAAGGAAGGAGGGCTCCTGGGGCTCAGTTTGAGTACAGCTGGTTGAGGTGGGGGAGTGGTGCTAGCGGTGTTGAGAACGTTTTCTTACTGTATGAAATAATCTCACCTCCTACTATAGTGGGATGAGCACTGAACTGGGAGTCTGGAGACCCAGCCCAATCCCCGTAGGGCCAGTGTGACCTTGAGAGAGTCCACAAGCCATAGACATTGCTATAATTCATTCATTTCTCCATTGTTTACACCAGAAACCAGCACCTGCTATCGCAGGCCAGGGGCTTGGCCTTTGGCGTTTCCTGGTGACAGGAGGCTAGATGCCGTGGGTCTCAGGTCCAGCCTCGTATGGACAGAGTGATCTATCTAGCCAGGTCCTTCTCAAGTGGTATTTGTCCTCAGGTCCTCCCCACAGTCTGGTCATCCTCTGACACTGCCAGTAGCAGATGCAAATGTAGTTAGTCTCTTGGAGTTCCTGTTCAGTTGGACTGTGTCCTCAGTCCTGCAGACCTGTTGTCAAGGAGGCCTGGTGTGTGGTGGCTTTGGGCTGTAGCCCAGGGTGTGTGCTGTGGGAGCAGAAGCAGCGTGGGAATAGGCCTCGGGCAGCCCCCTGGTCATCACTGCATATTTGGATAAGTCAGGGCCTCTGTTTCCCCTTTACATTTATGTGGGGGAGGGGGCTGTTTGTGCTACATTGTGTGTGGAGGTCAAAGGACAACTTTCTGAGTTGGGGTTTTTTACTACTTCCCGAGTGGGTCCCGGGGATCAAACTCAAGCTGCCCAGCTTGGTGGCAAGCTCCTCTACCCACTGAGCCATCTTGACAAGCCGGAGTTTCCTCTTTCAGACTCTTTCAGAAATGCACCTTCCTCTGTCACTTCCAACTCAGGTTTTGGAAGCAGGTGCCAAGGAGGGGAGATGGTATTAAGTCTAGGGACAGGGATAAGAGCATCCGTGTCCCCTGGGCATTCTGGATGACCTGTGCGTCTGTCAGGGCTCAGTGATCTTGGGAGCCACAGGGATCACCTCTCTGGCTACAGGCAGAGCCTCACTGCTGCCTTTGGAGTCAAGCTGTGTTTCACCTTCCCAGATCCCTTTCCCTGGTGGTGTGGGAAGTGTCTCCCTGTTTTACAGGTCAGGGTGATGAGGATAACTGTCTCTTGTCTTACCTGGTGTTCAGCATTTTTCAGCCTAATGCATTTGTGTAGCTTGTGAAGGAAATCGAACAAGAAGCCTTGTGTCACAGAGGCAGAAAACTGAGGGTCAGAGGTCATTTGGGGAGATGGGTCCAGGGACCTGACCCACAAGTCAGCTCTCTGAATGCAGCCTTGGAGCTAGGTGGCCCCCGGAAAGGGGACTCTGTGGCAGCTAATGTCTCCTTTGACCACCTGCTCCTGGATGTACAGTGTCAGGAACAGCTGGGGCTTAGAAGCGTTTTGGGCCTTCCCCACCAACTCTGCATCTGTCGGTCCTACCCTCCCAGGGCGGGCTCAGGGATCTTAGCCAGAGCAGCCCTTGCCTGCCAGGCACTGTTTGGCACTCTTCGCCAGTGATCTTGGTTAAGATGCTCGGGATGAGGCTCTCTGCAGGTGAGAAACTGAGCAGAGGTGAAATCACATGCCAAGAAGAGGGGGTGTCCTTGCATCAGACTCCCTAAAGGCCTGCCAGGCCCAGGGCCCATCTCTGGTCCATCTCCAGATGCTGGGGCCCCAGTGCCCCGAGGGCAGGCCTAACCCCCTGCTTACTCATTTTACAAGGGTGTGACCTGGAGCTGCTCCAAACCCAACCTTGGGTGTGGCCTTCTGTTTTGTGGCTGCCAAGTGTGGGGGTGAGCAAGATTTGTTGGGGAGCTGGCCTTTAAAGGGGTGGTAACCAGGCTGAGTTGAAGAAGTAAGGCCAGGACTCAGGCCTCCTTGCTTCTGGACTAGTGTTCTCGATAGTCTCTAGAAAAGAAGGGGGTGCGGGTGGGGACACCTCTCCTTTTCAGAGTCTCACTGCTGGCCAGGCTCATGACATTTTCTATCCATTCTACAAGCTGGTTTCAGTGAGGATAATGGGGGCTCTTCATCTGTCTACACTGTCCCATTGCTGTCCTGGAACTTACTCTGTAGACCAGGCTGGCCTCGAACTCACAGATCTGTCTGCTTCTGCCTCCTGAGTGCTGGGATTAAAGGCCGCTATGCCTAGCTGTTGTTGTTGTTGTGAGATAGGGTGTCACTATTGCCGATCTGATCCTGGATGCCTAGACTCAAATGATCCAGTTTAGCTAGGCACACATACACTCCTGTAGCCCTAGCACTGGGGAAACTGAGGCAGGAAAACTGTTGAAAGTTCCAGATCCAGCTGGTCATGGTGGCTCAGGTCTTTAATTCCAGTACTCCAGAGGCAGAGGCGGGTGCATCTCTGTGAGATTGAGGTCAGCCTAGTCTACATAGAGAGGTTCTAGGAGAGCCAGGGTGCATAGTGAGACCTTGCCTCAAGATAAAAAAAAAATACTGCCTTAGCCTCTGCAATAACTTAGACTATAAGCTGAATGTATGTACATGCATATTTTTAAACTCTACTGACACCCGGCCAGAAGATGACACGAAGGCTTGGGGATAGGGTGACCTGTCCCAGGCTGTCCTGCTCTCATGAACCTTTGGAGCCAACAGCAAAGTGGTCCCTAAATTTTCTCTCACCCCAGTGCCTGCCTAAGAAAGGAGACCCAGGTCCCTGCTGTGTGACCTTGGGCCAGTCACTTCCCTCTCTGACCAGACCTCTCACTTGGCTGTCCTGCTGGCTCTCTGGGGCTGCCTGAGCAAGGGGTGTATTCTACCCCCAAGGACTTGGCAATCGGACTTAAATCCTAACCAGGACAAAGGGGCTGGTTCAGAGGGTCCAGATTAGAGCCACACTGGCCTCTGGGTGTGGTCACAGACTTTTGCTCTCCTTAGCCCCTGCTGTCTCTGAACTTCACCCACGGTGATACCCATGCCTGAGTGGCGGGAGGCCCCTCACCGGCCTGGGCAGAGTACATGCACTTGCTGACTCTCCTCAGGAGCAGGCTGGCCCAACTCAGTAGGTGGGTCAAGGTCACCCGACTTCCCAGCTCACCTGGCTAAGGAGGGGGAAGTCTACTTTTGACCCCATCTGACCCCAGGGCCTGTGCTCAGCCTCTCCTGGTGCTTTCTCTCTGCTACCTGACTCGATCCAGCCACACGATGACGACGAAAAGGAGGAGGCAGTGTGTGATGTGATGGGAGCAGATGGCACAGCCCACATACTAGCAATTCCTGAGGGAATGTATGTGGATGGCTCTTGTAGCTGGCACATGGCTCTGGAGTTGGGCAGACCTGGGTTCAAACCCAGGCTCTGCTTTTGTCTGTGTGACCCCAGGCCTGCCTTGTAACTTAGCCTCTCTGTATGGACTTGTCTGCCAGGACCGACTGTCAGTGCTGATCCACTTCGGGACTGAGCGGATGTGATTGGCCGGTCAGGGTTCCCTCCTGCTCCCTGCCGTGCAGGGGGCAAGCGCCCTTCTGATGGGGAGTTGAGAGTGTGGGATGAACTGGAACGTGACTTGGCCGGTCCCCCATCTCCCCGTCCTTGTATGGTGGGAGGGGGGTAGAGTGAATCATTTGCTCGAGACAAAGTCCGTGGAGCCCACCTGGCCTTGCTCACAGCAGCTGTGCAATGTGACTAGTGTTGGGGGCTCAGTTGGAGCCGGCGCTGGAACCCAGCTTGGGTTGTGTAGCAGGGCTCAGCGGGCCACTGGCTGGGCCTTTCTCTGATGACAGGATGGGGCTAGGACTCTTGGTCAGGTGAGAGGTAGGTGAGGGATACTCAGGGGACACTCTCTGAGGAACGAGTAGGGGAAGTGTTTGGGTTCCATCTGAGCGTTGGTGTGGGGTGGAGGGTTGAAGTAACAGGCTCCTGAAAGCAGTAAGCAGAACTCTTGCACCAGTCTGGGGAGACTTCCTGGAGGGGGCAGGAGTTGAGGGGAACTGACACCTGTCAGGCCAGCTGTGCTCAGCAGCAGTTAGAAGGCTCAGCCCTGCCGAGCAAGCGTGACCTCACCACTAAGTGTTAAAACAGACCTCTCAAGTGGGTGGGGGTGTCTAGGGGACAGAGAAGGAAGGAAACAGGCTCAATGGCCCCAAAGGGTGTGTCCAGGAAGATGTTGAGATCGTGCTTGGGGAATAGACTATGCATTTCCTGAGACCCTACTGTGTATCTCATCCTGAGAACTCCACAGAAGTTACGACCAAGTCCTTGCCATAGCCCTCCATGTCATGATGTTCTGCCCATTTTACAGAGCAGGAAACGGAGGCTCTTAGCTATGGTATCCCTAGGTCACACGGTGAGCCTTCAGAGGTGCTGGAGATCCCAGCTGGCCCTTTGCCCAGTGCCCCAGTGCCCCAGTGCCTCTGCCCCACCCCTGCCCAGCCCTAACCATCAGGGAGGCCCTTTCTGGGCAGTGCAGCTAGAAGCCTCATTGTGGCCCTGTGGTGGTGGTGGGTGGTGTCTGGGTAGAAAGCAGCAGATGGGCTGTGGTTTGGTTTCCCCAGCAGGTGTTTCCCAAGCTTGGCGGGAACTGGGAGGGGCAGCAGGGCCTCAGCTGCTTGTCCTTAAGACACTGGGGAAGGATTCATTGTGTCTCAGCAAAGAGAATGACAAGCTGTCTATTCAGGAGGCCCTGGACCCTCAAGCTGGGGGCCAAATGGGGAGGGGGAGTATCTGTACTGTTTCCCAATGTGGGCACCTCCCTGGGGTGTGGCACTGAGCCAGGAAGTCCCCTGGGCCTGGGCGGATGCTGGTCCCACCCTGATAAGGGCCAGCTGTGCTGCTGTGATGGGCACCAGGTCTGTCTGAGCCAGCTGCTTCAGAAAGGGGCCAGTCTCCAGCCTGATGTGGTTTAGGCCCCTCCCACTTCTTCCTCTGTGTGTGTGTGTGTGTGTGTGTGTGTGTGTGTGTGTGTGTAGAGAGAGACACAGAGAGAGAGACAGAGACAGAGAGAGAGTTTCATTGGGTAGATGACTCAAGGGGTCAAGGGGTTGGCCCACAGAGGTAGGAATTTTATTTGTCCCTCAGAAAATATGGCACTCTCTTCGCTGGGCATTGACATTTCCTCCTCAAGGAGTTCAGTCAGCCACGCTGTACCAAGGGCTGATGGCAAACACCAGGAGGTGGCTGCTGGTGGGCTCCTTGCCCCGGCTGCAGTTCAGGGAAAAGGCTAAGGAAAACCAATTCTAATTCTTTCTCTTCCCCCTCTCTCCTGTCTGTCAAAGGCCAAGAGGAAGCTGGACCTGGAGGGCATTGGGAGGCCTTCGGTCCCTGAATTCCGGACTCCCAAGGGGAAGTGCATCCGAGTGGATGGTTTGCCAAGCCCCAAAAGTAAGAGTTTCTGATGGGCACCTGCAGCAGGGTGGGAGCTCGGGGTAGGAGGCAACAGCGCTACCCATCCGTCACCAGCACAGAGTCTGTTTCAGACCGTTTTCTTTCCCAAGGTTTCTGGTGTATTCTCGCACTTGATTCTGCCCAGTAGGCAGGAGTATGTCCCATTTACTGATGAGGCAACGTAGGAGAACTCAGGACTTGGCCGAGGTCACACAGCTAGTCAGTGGAATCAGGACCAATGCCTCACACTGCTTCTTATACGCCAGGCACCTGCTCCCCAGAGCTGACCACCACCTCTAGTGTTGACTTGGGAGCTTCGTATCTTTTTAAGCTTTCGTGGTTGGGTTAATCTGACATTTTCTGCAAGAGCTCTGGGAGGATCAGACATAACTAACTGATTCAACAGGAACTAGAGCTCGGAATAGTCCAGCCTGTGCATCCGCAGGTCTCTCGAGGCTGTGCTGCTAGAGCCTTCCTAACGCTAAGCCAGAAAGAATTCCTGCTGCTGAGATTTCCAGTCATTATTCTGGTTAAACTGGGAACGGAAGCCAGCGTGTCCAGGAGATATATGAGTTTCCCCAGAGACCTAATGAGGGCACGTGTCTAGGTAGAATGCATGTAAGTCAGGAACTGGGGGGTCCAGGTAAGGGCTCCACGTCTCTTGACTGGTTCACTCTTCTGTGAACCCTTGTTATCTCATGTAGATTCGGCACAGCTAGGTCAGGGTGGGGAGAAAGTTTATTCAACTGATTGATTAGAGGTTACCTAGAACCAAGACATAAGGATTCCAGATAGTACACCCATGGACTATTAATGTCTGCCACAGACGCAAAACCAGACTAAGTAGCACGTGTGTCAAATGCTTGGCTTCTATGTGTTAAGGGATTCTCAAGTTCCCTTCCAGAGGCACCTGAGACTAAAATTTAGTTCCCATGATTAGTTTGGCCACCAACTTCTATGTGACTTAAAGTCATTTGATTGCAAAAGCTCCCTTGTGCTTTTATTCGCAGCAGCTGAGTGGTGGTGTTGCAACATCAACTTTATTGAGAAAGGGACCTTTTCCATGAACCTGGTTCATTTGATGTTTGATGTTAGATGATTCCCCTCAGATAATTATTGGGCTACACAAGGAAAGGCAAGTGTGGATCTATAAAAATGTTCTCAAATCCAGGCTTGTCCTTCCCTCCCGACCATAATTCCTAATTCCCGGTATAATTGGCCGGAGAGGATAATGGTTTAGGAAACTGCCTACGTTTGAATCCTAGTTTGCCACTTGCTGAATGAAACAAACGAATGACTTAGCCAATCTGCTTCTGTACAACACTGTAGGGTATTCGCTTAAGGAAGTTGCCCAGGACAGTGACCCTCCCAACAGCATGCAGTTGTTGGAGCTGTTGCTATGTCTGCTCTGAGCTGTGGTGGAAAGGTACCCTGAACCCGGAGTCGCGACACTTGGCTTCCGGTGTCTGCAGCGCCCCCTGGCGGTGAGACCTGGAGCAAGCCTGTTTCCCCCTCGAGGTTACGGGTTCCTGGTCTGTGAGGCTGTGGAGACCCCGCTGCCTGAGTGCTCTGCACGTTGGACAGTTCTCGGTGAAGGGTGGTAGAAGGTGTTGTTTAATGGATCTGAACTCCTGGAGAGAACCCAGGCTGGCTCCCCCAGGGCAGCGTGTGAGTGGGGCCTCTTCTTCCTCAGCCCCCAAGTCTCCTGGGGAGAAGACACGCTATGACACGTCGCTGGGGCTGCTCACCAAGAAATTCATTTACCTCCTGAGTGAGTCGGAGGATGGGGTCCTGGACCTGAACTGGGCAGCTGAAGTGCTGGATGTGCAGAAGCGGCGCATCTATGACATCACCAACGTGCTGGAGGGCATCCAGCTCATCCGCAAGAAGTCCAAAAACAACATCCAGTGGGTGTGAGTGCCTGGGCCAGGCCATGGCACCAGCCAATGGGTGCATGTGTTGGGGGCGGGGCCGGGGACAGTAGCCAATGGGTGTGAGTTTTGGAGTTCCCTCCCCAGCAACAGGCAATCCACAGCAAGTACGGCGTGGTTGGTGGCCAAAGTCAACCAATAGGTCTACGAGGAAGGGCAGAGCCAGTGTGTTTGAGTGGGACGGGACAGGTATTAAATGCTGGCGTGATAGCAAGAGCAAGGAGACCGGGGCAGAGCTGAGTAGTTCTCGGGCTGTAAAGGCCCCGGAGGACCCCAGCTCATTATGTCCCGGTCCCCAGGACCCCTCCTCTTTAAGAAAGCCCCTTGGGAGCTGCACAGGTGTGGGTCAGACTCCTCCCCACAGCTGCAAGGTCTGAAAGTACCCTGGCATGAACCCTAAGGGAAACCCAGGAGCGGAGCCAAGGCTAAAGTCAATAGTACCTTTCCATCCGGTGGAGGCGGGGGCATAAGGATAGATCCAGGGGTTCGGTCTCCTAATGTCTCACCTACCCCCAGACTTCAAGTGCCGGTCCACGACAGTTCCCAGGGAGGTGGGCCTCATGTGTCCTGGGCACCACCGCAGACTCGCCCTGGCTTGGACTAGCCCTCTCATGCAGTCGTGCAGAGCAGCCCTGATGATGGTAGGGACAATGAATACGTGCTGACACTGACATTGGGGCTGCTCTGTTCCCAGAGGCAGGGGAATATTTGAAGACCCCACCCGACCCGCCAAGCAGCAGCAGCTGGGGCAGGAGCTGAAGGAGCTGATGAAGGCAGAGCAGACCTTGGACCAGCTCATTCAGAGTTGCTCGCAGAGCTTCAAGCGCCTGACCGAGGATAATGCCAACAAGAAATATTCTTTCTGCAGAGAGATGGGCAGGGGCAGGGCTGCTGGCTGCTGAAATCGACACCCAGCTGATTTCTTACCTCCTTCCTGGGACTAGCTCCCTCTAGGGGACTGTCCTATCTGTTTCTCCCTGTCAGGCTTAGGAAAGTTGGGGGTCCTTCCTTCCTTTCCTTCTTAAGGATTATTTTATGTATGAGTTCTCTATCTACATGTGCAACTTTATGCCAGAAGCAGACATCAGACTCCACTGTAGATGGTTGTGAGCCACCACGTGGTTGCTGGTGTACTGTGTTGATGATGGCTAGCTGGAATGGGTGTTTGGATCCGATCTAGATTTCCCTTCTTAATTTACTGTTTTGTTTTTAGTTACATGTCTTTATTTGTGTGTTGGGGGCGGGGCGCATCGTGCTGGTGGCACATATGTGGAGATCAGAGGGTAACTGCTTGGAGTCAATTCTTTCTCTCCACCATGGAGGTCCCAAGGATCAAATTGTCGTGCTTGGGGTCAAGTGTCTTTTCTCTGAGGCATCTTACCAGCCCAAGATTTTATTTTGTATTTCTTCTTCTCCTTTTATTTAGTCTTTGACAATTTCATGCATGTGTACATTGATCACATCTACTTCCAGTTTCCCTCTCTGACCCCCCCCATACAGCCCCTTCCGCCTTCATATCCTGTCTTCTTTGTTGTTTTCTGTAACTCACTGAGTCTACCTGGTGCTGCCTGTTGGAATGGTGACTGGGTTACCTGGCTTCGTGTAATATTTTCATACATATTTCCTATTTTCATTTTCTTTTATGCTGAATCATTTCTGTTGAGTCTGTACCATATTTTCAGCATCCATTCATCTGTCGATGGGCACCTAGGCCCACCCAATTTCCTTGTGGTTACAGACAGCCACATTAAACGTGGGTATTGCAATCTGTTTTCCTGTGGGAGGAAGGTGACTTATGCTATTCAAAGAACAGGTTATGGTCATTTGAAGCTTTTTCTGAACTGTTTCACGTGTGAGGATGTGATATTCAGAGGTTTACAAGAGGAGATAAAAGTCCCCTGGCAGGCTGGGGGTGTGCATTTTGACACGGCGGTCGTTTTTCTTAACTTTCCTGCCCCTACACTGGCCTATGTGACCTACCAGGACATCCGTGCTGTGGGCAACTTCAAGGAGCAGACGGTCATCGTAGTCAAGGCCCCTCCACAGACAAGACTGGAAGTCCCTGACAGGGCGGAGGTGAGAGGGAAGCCCTGGGTGGAGAACAGGGTGGGAATGCACTGGGTAGCTCTGTAGAGTCTGCCTGGCACTGCCAGCCCCGGCTCCACTGGTCCTTCTGGGGTCTGGGGCAGAAGTGGCAGAAATTGGGAAGAAAAATGGAGGCTAATCACTGGCCCGAGGACTTCCCTGGTTTTGCATAGATTTTCTCCTTTGCATTCCTTTTGTGTGGGTTCCTGTGCACGAACACAGGTGTCCCCACGGAAGCCAGTTTAGGACTCACAAGAATCCTCACCCACTGTCCATGTTCTCACAGGCTCAAGATGAAGACAGTTTTTCTTTGGTGCTGAGAGTGGAACCCAGTGCCTTGAGTGTGCTGGCACATTCTCCAGGACTGAGTCAGCCCTGTGCCCTGACTGTGTGGGTCAGGTTAAGGTTACTATGTAGCCCAGCCTAGCCCCAAATTCCTGGTCTTCCTGCCTCTGCCTCCCAAGTGCTGGTTTTAGAGGCAGACATCACCATTTATATCATAAGATCAAATTAAGAAAGAAAAAAGTCTGAACATTGTATTTATCTAGTTAATCTGTGTGTGTGTATAAATGTTAGAGACAACTGGAAGGAGTCAGTTTTCTCCTGTGTACCATCAGGCTTGGAGCAGGGTTTTTTGTTGTTGTTTTTGTTTTTTCCTGCTGATCAATCTCTCTATCCCAAGATGAAAATTCTTTTTTTTTGAGATTGATTAACATTTTTATTTTTATGTTTGGATGTATTGCCTGCATATATTGTTGGTGTACCATGTATATGCAGTGCCTGTGGAGGCCAGAAGAGGGTATTAGATTTCCTTGGCACTAGAGTTATATAGGCTGTTGTGAGCTGCCCTGTGGGTGCTGGGAGTCAAACCTGGGTCCTCTGGAAGAGCAGCCAGTGCTCTTAACCACTGAGCCATCTCTCCAGCTCTTAACCAAAATCCTTAATACTCCTCATGAAGCCTTGGCTGCACTGAGCCCAAAGGACTCCACTGGATTCCTCTCCCAAGCCATCTCCATGGCTCTGCGCTTTGGTACATCAGGCTGTCTGCAGTCTGTCCTCGGTGCAGGACCTTTGCACACGCTGTCCCCTCTAGCTGGAATGCACTTCCCTCTCCCTGCCTGGTGGACTGCTAGCCACCCTCAGGTTTCAGCTTGACACTGAGTCACTTCCTTCCTAGTCAGCCTCAGACTAGATCCAGTTTCTTTTTTTTAAGGACACTAAATCTCAGTTCTCAGGCCCATCTTTGACACAATTCCTTGCAGACTTACTATGTAACCAAAGATGACCTTGGAATTCTGATCAAGACTCTTGCCTCTGCTTCCAGAACACTGGGCTTAAGGGCGTACTCGACAACACTCGTTTAGGTGGTGTTAGCACGGAACCTGGGCCTTCTACCTGCTAGGCAAGCATTCCGTCGGCTGAGCTAGATGCCAGCCCCTGTTAGGGGTTTAAGCTTTAGGGAAGAATGTGTTGCTCAACTTCTGTCAGGGTGTGGCACATATTGAGGGATCCAGAAATGACATCTTTGAAGGAACCCATACCACAGAGGTAATGAAAGCCCCACCCCTCAGCGCAGGGCCTGGTGGGTCGGGGGAGACCCAGGCAATGGGACTGTTATTTCTTGACTGAAAATGTGTTTAAAGGACAAGTGACAAGCCCTGGATTTTGGAGATTGGAGTCAAAGTTTAATTTGGGGGTTCAGACCAGGGTTCCCATCTGTCCAGTGCTCTCTATCCCTGCCCACCTTCTCTGCTGTTCTCAAGTGGGCTCTCGGCTTGTGGTAGAGCGCATGGGCCAACAGCTCAGCCTCCCCTGTAGTAAGAGACCTAATGCTGGTTGGATGTGTGACATGTGACACCCTGAGGGAGCCACATAACCCTGGACTCTCCCAGCTGCATCACAAGTGGGGCCACAGGAGTTGGAAGGCCACTTCCACAGACTTCAGGGCAGGCTTATTTCCCCAAGGGAAAATCAAGGTTTCCTCCCTCCAAGGGGACTTGCATATGGGACAATGGAATGGTGATTTTTCTCCCAGCAGGGCAGGGAGGACAGTGTCCAGCTCAGGGACTGAGCTTGCACACATGGGTAGCACTGTGTCCATTCATACCAGCCGACCTGAGAGTCTGCGTCCAGCATTGTGAGATGGTTTCTCTTCCTCCTCCAGGAGAACCTGCAGATTTATCTAAAGAGTACCCAAGGGCCCATTGAAGTCTACCTGTGCCCGGAGGAGGTACAGGAACCAGACAGTCCTTCCAAGGAGACCCTCCCTTCTGCCTCTACCCTCAGCCCCGTCCCTGACTTCCCCGTGTCCAGCTGTAGCACTGATCCTGGGATCGCAGAGACTACGCCATCTTCAGGTAAGCCCTCCACCCCTTTGGAGAGGACGTGAGCAGAGAAGTGGGCCTAATTCTTCCCTGTGTGCATTTGTTGGATACCCAGCATTCCAGGCAGATAAGCCCAGTGTCCCTACATGTGATAACAGCCCTTCATGCTTTGCAAAAGGCTCGTGCCTCCCTGTCTCACCAGGGGAGCCAGAGCTGCCCTGGGGCAGCTCAGCCATTCATTCCCTCTGATGTGGGCCCTTCAACAGTTCGTGCTTCAATTTCCTCATCGGTAGATTGGACAAGAGTAGTTAATATTTAACTCTGAGGTTATTAAAAGGATTAGTGAACTAATGTGAGCCCAGTGTTTGACCTGGTAATGGCTGTTACTGTCATTTTTACTGCCACAATTGCTATGAGGTTGGCTCACAGCCAAGCACGTGGCACTCAGCGAGCCACAGTAAGTGGTGGCGCGTGTGTGTGTGTGTGTGTGTGTGTGTGTGTGTGTGTGTGTGTGTGTGTGTGGTGTGTGTGTGTGTGTGTGTGTTGTGTGTGTGTGTGTATGTGGTGTGTGGGAGTTGAACCTGCGGCATTATGCTTCCTAAGTAAGTGAGCGCTACACCACCGAACTTCAGCAACGAGCCACACTCTTAGCCTGTGGGTTTTCTTTTCTCAATATTTTTACTTTTTTAAATTAAAACTTTATCGTAAGGAGTTTGTTAATAAAAAAAAAGCATTGCACACTGAAATGAACCAGATACAAAGTCTATACATCTCGATATACTTTTATACTATGAGAATAGCCAAGGCTGCTGGGCGGTGGTGGCTCACACCTCTAATCCCAGCACTGGGGAGGCAGAGGCAGGTGGATCTCTGAGTTCAAGGCCAGCCTGGTCTACAACCAGGACAGCCAGGGTTGTTGTTACACAGAGAAACTCTGTCTCGAAAAAAGACAAAAAACTGGGGAGCAGGGGGGTGGGGAGGTGGGGGGGGACCAAGGTCAAAGAGAAGACTCAGCTGCTGAGATGAACAAACAGGCCCAGGTTAAATTCCCAGCACCTGCATGTAGCTTACAACCATCCATCACTGCAGTCCAGGAGAGCCAGTGACTCTTTTGGGCACACCCCAGCATCATACAAAATCTGTCTCTCTCTCTCTCTCTCTCTCTCTCTCTCTCTCTCTCTTTCTCTCTCTCTCTCTCTCTCTCTCTCTCTCTCTCTCTCTCTCTCTCTCTGTCTCTGTCTCTCTGTCTCTCTCTCTCACACACACACACAAACCATATACACACACTCCTCATGCAATGCACTTATATTTATATCTATGCAGACAAAATATTCATATACCTAACATAAATAGAAATTTTAAAAAAGCATTCTAAAGCTGTGGGGCTTCCCATTAGATTTCACACCAATTACTGAATATGTTTATGTTCTTAGGCCAGCCTGGTCTACCACCTAAAACTTAGAGAATTGGAAACATGATTACCTTTCTAGTCTCAGAATCAGACTGGCCTGGAACTCACAGAGATCAGTCAACCTGTCTCTGCCTCCTGAGTGCTGGGATTAAAGGTGTAGTCCACCACCTGGTGTTAGGGTTTGTTTTTTGTTTTGCTTTGTTCTGCTCCATATTGGGCATTTGCATTCCATAGCACATCTTGGAGGAGGTTTCATTACTCCTGGTTTAGTGGAGAGACAATGAGTTTGGCCAAGGACAGGCAGCTGGGAGCAGCACAGTGGTGTCCTGACCCTTGCTCCACAGGGACCCAGAGCTGTGTCCTCAGGCACAGGATCAAGCAAGAAGGGCTCCTGGCTGGAGGGCCCACACCTGGCTGGGGGGCTGGGGAGTGGGTGGTGGGTGCAGGAGTTGATGGAGCCAGAAGTCACCTCTGCAGAATGGCCTAGCCTTCTACTAGGATTCTGCCCCAGGTCAGACAAATAGGTTTTCAGGGTCAAGTAGACCCGAATTCCACCTTTGGTTTTTTTGTTGTTTTGTATTGTCTTTTTGGATCCTTAAGGAGAACCCTAGTGTTTTTATTTAATTTTTGTCACATTTATTTATTCATTCGGGTCCATGTACCACCCACAACTTGCAGGGATTGTTTTTCTCCTTATACCATGTGGGCAAGTCACCAAGCGCCTTGTGTCTGTGAGCCGTCTTGGAAGCCCAAGAACCTTAGTGTCTGAGGAAAGGCAGAACTGGGATTGGCCTGATGGGAAAGGCATGGTGTGATGTTTCACAGGACATAGGCTGCTCCTGTGTCAACACAAAAGTTGACACATTCCAGCCTTGCAGGTCAAAACGGGCTTGTTTTCATATGGCCAACGAGCTAATGATGGCTTTGAACGCCTGTTTTTCTTCGTCTTTAGTGGTTGTGCTAGGAACCGAGCTCAGGACTTTGCACACGCTAGGCAAGTACCCTACCTTGGTTTTTACATTTTTCAAGAGTTGGGAAGGGGACTAGAGAGGTGGCTCAGCTGTTAGGAGCATTTGCTGTTCTTGCAGAGGACCTGAGTTCCATCCCCAGCACCCATGTGGTGACTCCATAACTCCAGTTCTAGGTGATGTGACGCCCTGTTCTGACCTCTGCTGGTCCTGCATGCACACAGTACCATACATACATGCAGGCAAAATGCTCATACACATAAAATAAATAAATCTAAAAAATTTAAAAAAAGGAGTTGGGTAGAGGGCAACTGTGTTACAGGGGACACATGTGTCCCACAAAACCTAAAATACCGTCCAGCCCTGGACAGAAGTTTATTGACCTTGATCTCATTCTACATGATGGAACTGGTGCCCAGAGAGAGCAGGTAGCTTCTTTAAGGTCTCACAGCAAGTTGATGGGAGAGTTGGGACAAGAGCCCAGACTCGTAACTCTTCTCTAGGGACCCTCCTGAATGTGTCGCTCCGTGTGCCAGCCATCTGTCCCCTTGGGCACCTCCCCAGGCCCTATCTTTTATTCCAGACCTGTGCCCCACCCTGTTGTCCCTCCTGGTACTCTGCCCTCTTCTCTTAGCTGTCAACATGTATACGGCTCTCCAAAGTTAGAACTACTTGCATATGATTGTCTTTTCATGGAGACCGCTTTCTAGTGTAAGATCCAAAGCCCAGAGGCTGGGGTGGAGCTGAGGGGTAGAGTCCTGGCCTAGCCCCTGAGGCCCTGGGTCCTATCCCCAACACCCGGGGCAGGCAAGGGTAGAGCCAGTTTGCTTTTGACTTTATGCCCACTGAAGGAAGGAAAGGAAGTTATCTTGAAGATATACACTCCCACACTTGCATGCACACTCACAAAGATGCAAACAAGGGGACTGGAGAAATGGTTTAGCAGTTAAGAGCACTGACTGGCTGATCTTCCAGAGGTCCTGAGTTCAATTCCCAGCAACCACATGGTGACTCATAACCATCTGTAATAAGATCTGATACCCTCTTCTGGTATGGATGAAAACAAAGCACCCATATACATAAAATAAGCAAATATTTTTTTAAAAGATGCAAATATGGGCTGTATGTACCAAGTATGTGCAGTGCTCTGCAGAGGCCAGAGGAGGACATCAGATCCTTGTAACTGGAGTTATAGACAGTGGCGACCCCCCCCCCCCTTTTAGATGCTGGAAGCCAAACTTGGGTCCTCTTCAAGGGCAGCAAGTGCTCTTAACCTCTGAGCCATCCTCTAGCCCCCAAATAGAGTTATTTTTGAGGTGTGAGTACCAGAGGCCATGCCCAGAGTGGAGGGTGTAACAGACTTGGGATTTAAGGTTCTGGCATCTCCAGAGGAATTGCTAACTCTTTGTAACCTCATTTTCCTCTTGATAGAAGGGGCTCGAGTCGGGCGGTAGTAGTGCACACCTTTAGTTCCAGCACTTGGGAGGCAGAGGCAGGTGGATCTCTGTGAGTTCCAGACCAGCCTGGTCTACAAGAGCTAGTTCCAGGACAGCTTCCAAAGCCATAGAGAAACCCTGTCTAAAAAAAAAAAAAAAAAAGAAGAAGAAGAGAAAAGAAGGGACTTGAATAAGAGTTGCTTCCACACCTTGTCCAGACTCTGGCATTCTGGGATATAGGATCTGAAACTGGGGGGCTTGGGTTGAAACCCGTAGTCTCCAGGTTTGGGAGACCAAGTGAGGCAGGAGGAGTGTTTGAAGCCAGAATTTCAGGGCCAACCTTGGCAACATAGTAAGACTCAGGCTCAAGAGATACATAAACAAACAAATATTCACCTGGCCTAGTGGCAAACGCCTGTAATCCCCACTGATTGGGAGACTTGGACTATAGTGAGTTCAAGGACAGCCTAGGTAACTTAGACTCTGTCTGAAAATAACAAGTATAGAGAAGGTTAAGGAGGCTCAGTGGTAGAGTGTTTGCCTAGCATGTGCACTGGCCTCGCTTCTGTTACTGGTACTGCTTTGAAAGAAGGAAAGACAGACAGACAGACAGACAGAAAGAAAGAAAGAAAGAAAGAAAGAAAGAAAGAAAGAAAGAAAGAAAGAAAGAAAGAAAGAAAGAAAGAAAGAAAGATTGATTCTCTAAGAATGTTGCAGGGCCCATTCCCAGGGGATGACACCACCAGACTGTGGTTTTCCAAAACAGCTAATATGAACCGAGTACCCCACCTGTGCAGGGTCCACTGGAGTTTGGAGCTCTTCAGAGGAGGTGGAGCAATGGGTGTTACGAAGGACAGCTCCAGCCTGGCCGTGACCAGCAGGAAGGAGAGCAAGGTTCACCTTACCCCGTGACTTCCACAGGCCTCCCCTCAGTTTCCACTCCCCAAAATTCTGAGTAGTTTCTACCTTAGCCTCCTGGGAAGTCTGGGGCACCGAAGCCCACAGCTGATAAGAAGCAGGGCTGGGGTTTGCGGCCACATTCTTCTTCCCTTTGCCAGACCGCTTGCTGTAATCTCAGCAGCGTGTTAGGATTGTGATGTGCAGGGGATGGAACCTGGGGCCTGTGCACACCAGGCAAATACTCTATTGCTGAGTTATGCCTCCAGCCCCAAGCTTTAGTGATGGTGGCAGTTGTGTGTGTGTGTGTTACATGCACATGCATGTGTAACTATGCAAACACGTGCAGAGGCTAGAGCAGGACGTCGAGTGTCTTCCTTTGTCACCCTCTGAGTTGTTCCCTTGAGACTGATCACTGGGTATGGAGCTTGCTACTATTTGGCTAGACTGGCTGGCCCATGAGCTCTCAGGATCCACCAGTGTCTGTCTCCAGTTCTAGGGTTACAGGCACTTGCAGCCATGCCAGCCTTTATGTGGGTGCTAGAGATTCAAACTCCGGTCCTCCTGCTTGTAGTACAAGCCGTCTTAGCCACTAAGCTATCTCCCCAGATCCTGTTTGTCGTTGCCATGTTTCACGCTAGTCTCAAACTTATGACGCTTCTGCCGTTGCCTCCCAAGGGCCAGAATTAGAGGTGTAAGCCACCACTTGGCATGAAACTTTTGTTCTAGGTTTTTCTGTAAGAATTTAATAGATTGATGGGATTGCAGAGATGACTCAGTGGTTGAGAGCACTGACTGCAGCTGGGCAGTGGCGCATGCCTTTAATCCCAGCACTCGGGAGGCAGAGGCAGGCGGATCTCTGTGAGTTCGAGGACGGCCTGGTCTACAGAGTGAGTTCCTGTCTCGAAAAGACAAAAAAAGAAATAGAGCACTGATTGCTCTTCTGGAGGACTGATTGCTCTTCTGGAGGACCCGGATTCAATTCCAGCACCCACATGGCAGCGCACAACTGTCTGTAACTCCAGTTCCAGGGGACCTGACACTCACAGCAAAACACCAGTACACATAAAATAAAAAGAAGTAGATTTTAAAAAAGAATTTAATAGATTGATATTTTGCATTTGGTTTTTAGTTCACTTTGAACTAATTTCTGGAAATGATGTAAGGGTCTAACTTCATTTGTCTGCACATAGACATCCCTGTCACAGAACCATTTGTCAAAAGGACTGTCCCTTGTGGCTGGGAGGGGCAATGCTTTAAAATATACTTTTTTTTCCCCGTTACTTATTTGTGTGTGGGCATGTGCATATGAATACAAGTACTCACAGAGGCCAGAGGAGGGCATCAGATCCTCTGGATCTGGAGCTGCCTATTGTGAGTCACCAGGTGAAGATGCTGGGCAGCAAACTCAGGTCCTCTGCAAGAACAGCACACTGAGCCACCTCTTCAGCCCCGGAAGGATGCTTGCTTTCTTTCTTTCTTTCTTTCTTTCTTTCTTTCTTTCTTTCTTTCTTTCTTTCTTTCTTTCATTATGCAGTGCCTGCATGTATGCTTACATGTCAGAAGAGGGTACTCACTCATTACAGAACATCAGGAAGAGCAGCCAATGCTCTTAACCTTGGAGCCATCGCTCCAGCCTGGGAGGATGTTTTATTTATTTATTGGTTTTTCAAGACAGGGTTTCTCTGTATTGTTTTGGAGGCTGTCCTGGAACTTATTCTGTAGACCAGGCTGGCCTCGAACTCAGAGATCCACCTGCCTCTGCCTCCCAAGTGCTGGGATTAAAGGTGTGCGCCACCAACGCCCGGCTCAGGAGGATGCTTTTTAATGATAGACATTATTGGGGCGTCGTGTGCTGTGATGTTGTAGGAGAGTTGGGGAAGCTGAAGTTGCCGGAATGAGCAAATGGCTTCAGGAGCAGCCCTTTACAATAGCAGGGTGGGCTGGGTACAGAAGCCTGGGGTGGGCTTGGGGAGCAGGCTACTGCATCCAGTGGAGGACAGGGAGAGAGTAGAAAATGAGGTTTTTGTGACTGGTGCCTGAAGAGACAGGGTATCACCATGCCATTTAGTGGATGAGACAGAGGAGGGCCGGCCAGCCAGAGAGCCAGAAAACTACCCCGTGTGCTCAGGGCCAATCATGACTCTAGTCTCTTTGTCTCCAGAACCAGGGCTGATGCCCCAGCCGGCCCCGCCACCACCAGCACCATCCCTTGTCCCCTTGGAAACCACCGACAACATGCTGGAGCTGTCACACCCACTCCTGCAACAGACTGAGGACCAGTTCCTGTCCCCAATCCTGGCTGCCAGCTCCCCTCTAATCAGCTTCTCCCCGCCCTTGGACCAGGACGAATACCTGTGGGGCATGGATGAGGGTGAGGGCATCAGTGACCTCTTCGACTCCTATGATCTTGGGGACCTGTTGATTAATTGAAGAGCCCTGCCTCTGTCTCTACCTCCTCACAGATGGGGGACACTGGACACTAGGTGTCACCCTCTGTGTATGAGTGGCTCCGTTTCAGCCTTCCTTCCAGTGGAGGGCAGCTAGGGAGATGTGGAGAACGTGAGGAGTGTGTCAGGGGCTGGGCCCTGATCCTCCTCTTCTGACCTCTGACCCCTTCATGAAGGACAACAGGTGCAGGTGACCATGTTCAGGGAAAGGGTCTGCTGCCTCCTTCTGGGGGGCAGTTGGACCCTGGCTTTTTCGATAAGCACTTAATGCCTTTGTATTTATTTCAGGTTTGTTTGTTTGTCCGCCCTGAGTTTTAGCAGGGAGATTTGTAGTTAGTTTCTCCTCAGACAGGCTCTCCCATGCCCACTGTCTAAGGGAATACCTGGGCTTCCAGGAGCCAGGGCCAGCTCCTTGGTCCTCCCCCCACAATGGTACCTGGGTTTTGAGGAGAGTATCCAGTTTTGCTTGAATGTTAATTGCACTTAGGCCTTGTAATTCTAGTAAGGTGCAGGGCCCAGCCAAGGCGTCAGCTTCTCTTCCGCCCCAGAGAAGGTTCCAGTAGCTATCTTGGGAGAGATAGCATTGAGGTCCCCACAGGAACAGGTATCCAAGAAGGTTCCCTTCTTGGTTGGGTCCCTTATCTCTCCTGAACGTCAGAAAGTAAATACAGGCCTTTAGGAATTAGGCCAGAAGAGCCCCTGGGAAAAGCAGGAGGCACGTGTCCTACCTTCCTCAGAGCCTCTGCCTTGCCTGGTCAGAGACCTGGGGGGTGGAGGCAGAGACAAATGTGAGAAGAAACACCCAAGGGCTACCCATGCTTCCCTGGGAGGATTGTTTTGTTTCTTGGTCGTGGTTGTCGGAGGGGGAGTTTCCTTAGGGACAGGCCTTCCCAAGCCCTCACTCCGCTTCTGAGGTCCCAAGTGACTGGAGCCTGAGGGCAGGTTTGCACCTTTCCCCACTGGAATGCTAAGGGGGGATGGGGTGGAGTGGTCTTCACTGCTCCATGAGGAGATGGTGTGGGGATCTGGGAAGAGCCTTAGGTTTATTTCCCCATAGGCTGACCCTCCAGGGTCCCTGTGGTCCAGATGGAGACAGGAGTCCGCTAGTTTCCCTTGCCCTTTCTGGGATGGAGCATGCTCTGGGCTGAACCAAGGCCATGTGTTCTGGAGAGGCACACCCAAGGGAGAGAGGTCTTACCCACCTTCAGGGAGCTCAGGTTTCTCAGGGGCTCAGCAGGGCAGCACTTTTTTTTTTTATAAGTGTGTAGCATTAAATTGATTTAAAAGATAAAGTTGATTATGCCAGGTAACTCCTAGCTGGCTGACTGGCATTTGAAGTTTAAATGTTGGGCTGATGTGAACTGATGTCCACTTGGGGGATAATTTGTGTTATCCTTAGCTCAACTTCTTGGGCTCTCAAATTAGGCCCCTCCGGGAGTGGTTAGTGTCTCACAGCTGCCACACTTGGAATTTGTATGCTTTTACATCGCGTGTCTAGCCTTTTGACACTGCGATGTGACCTTGTCGTCTATAAAGTCCACACTCAAGAACTGCACAAGCTACCAAAAAAAAGAAAAAGAAAAGAAATCTCATGATGCTTTAAGGACGTTTACAGTCTTGTGTTGAACTGTGTCCATAGCTATCCGTGGCCTGTGCTGTAGGTTGGACATAGCTGCTACCAAGCACAGGGGCTTATCAGACCACATGGAAGCCCACCGTGCCCTGGAGCCACAGGTGACTCGAGGGATGAGGATGCAGCCTGGGCTCTGGTTTGATGCTCGGAGCCTGGAGGCAGCGTTGTTGTTCTCAGGTCTCTCTGCCGTTTAGCCATATGCCAACTCCAAGAAGGGAGATGCCTGACCTCTGAGCCTTGACCACTGGATGGAGAACTAAGGTTCTGGAGAAGAGGGCTGTACTTCCTGTCTGGAATGAGGCTAATAATGCAGTCCAGAATTCAAGTTCAGGCGCCAAAGGCCCAGCCCGGGGATGGACAGAGGCCTTCCCAGCAGCTGCCTCATGCTGTCCTGGCTGTCTCTTTTCAACCCTTAGGCGAGGGGCGGGACCTCCCAGGAGAAGCCCCAGGCTAGAGTGGGGAACAAGCTCAAGCCTCTTTCTTGCCAAATGATACTTGAGACCCCCAAGTTCCTTAAAATGCTTTAAAAGAATGGGGTGTGCCCCATTTGGAACAGTTTTGAGTGGTATTTCTTTTAGAACCCATGGGAGCGCTCATGCAAAGGTGGGAAAGATGCCAGTCTCTTTCCTAGATGCTCCAGCTCCACCAGCAAGCCCCCAAGTCATTTGTGTCCCCAGGGACATCAAGCACCTGGGGACCTCAGAGCACTTAGCAGAATTAAGTTTGTAAATAGGATTGGAAATGCACCAGTGGAGGTGTCAGGGTGAGTCAGTCCCTCCTCTGGGTGACCTGTCTAGCTGGTGTGTCCACGCAGAGTGAGTTTGTGAGCTTTGAGGGGGTGTGACTTGGTTTCCCCTCCCTGCGTGTTCTCGGCACAGGGTAGTGTTGTAGAGAGTTTGCTTGTGCCGGCCGGCATCAGGTGCCGTGTAGCTCTAGCACATCTGAAGCTTTTGGGGTTGATTAGAATCAGTTTCTTGGTTTCTGTCATTGTGCCCAGAGGCGCCACCTCACATACGTCCCTGTTCTCCCACAAGGCCCTTTAGGGACCACAGTGACCACAAGTCTGGCCGGCCTCTGGCCGCTGGGAGAGATGAAGTCTTGTGGGTGTTGTTTGTTTTGAGGGTGCTGGGGGGTGGGGTCTGGGGTCCCTGAGCTGGGGACTCCATGTGGGTCACCTACCTCCTCGTTTCACCCAAAGTCCTGCCTTGCACACCAGCGAGTTTCCTTCTGTTGTGATAATTGGGCATTAAACAGTGGCAGCTGGGAAGCTCTGGCTCAATGTCATTTCTTTCTGCAGTTCTGGGGATCCCACCCAGGACCTCATACATGATAAACACACCCAACCATTGAACTACCTGGGGATCCCACTCAGGATGTCAGACGTGTTAAACCCACCCAACCATTGAACTACCTGGGGATCCCACTCAGGATGTCAGATGTGTTAAACACATGCCTAACCACTGAACTAAACTACCTGGGGATCCCACCCAACCTCACATATGTTAAGCACATTCTCAACCATTGAACGAACTGTACCTTGGCCCTGCTGTGCTTCCTGAATGACACTTATTACTGAGGGTCTGGTTCCTTGACTGGGGGGGGTGAGGACCATAATTGCCCAGCTGATGTGCCCCATCCCAAGTGTCCTTACCCTGCATTGCTGTTCCCATGTTTGGGAGTTAGCAGTGTGACCCACCTTCGTCCCCTGTTCCACACAGGGTCATGGTTGCCCCTCTAATAGCCTCCCTGTTTCTAACCTCATCCATCACATCCTCTACATCTCAGAGCGCGGTCCCCAGAGCAGCAACTTCAGCATCACACGTGGGTGCAGGCACACAGAGGCCAAAGACAATTTCAGGTGTCTTATTCTCTGCAGACAGCCTCACTGAGCTAGAGCTGCCTATTTTACAACTAAGTTGACCGGCCGGCAAACCTCAGCAATCCTCTTGTACTTACCTGCCCAAGCACTGGGGTTGCCGGTGCTCACTGCCATGCTTGGTTTTTGTTTTGTTTTGTTACATGTATGTGGACTCAGTGTCTTAAGGTTTCTATTGCTGTGATGAGACACCATGACCACAGCAACTCTTATGGGGGAAAACATTTTGGGGAGGGGGCTGGCTTATAGTTCCAGAGGTGGTCTGTTGTCATGGTAGGAAGCATGGTGGCATGCAGGCAGACTCGGTGCTGGAGAGGTAGCTGAGTCGGCAGGCAACAGGTGTGATAGTGTATACCTGAATCCCACTGAATCCCAGGATTTGGAAGGTGGAGGAGACAGGAGTTCAAGGCCAGCCTCAACTACCTGAATTACAAGAGACACCTCCAAAAATTAAACCAAAATTAAAAAAAAACAAACTAGGATATAATAAAGTGAAAAGACATCTTTTTGTTTGTTTCTGTGCTTTTTAGTGTTTGTTTTTGTTTTTCCCAAGGCAGAGTTTATCTCTGTAGCCTTGGCTGTCCAGGAACTCACTCTGTAGATAAGGCTGATCTTGAAGATACACTTACCTCTGCCTACCCGGAGCTGGGATTAAAAGTCATGTGCCACCATCCAGCTGTGAAAAGACACCTTATAAAATGGGAGAAACTATTTGCAAATTATATACTTAGGGATTTGTACTCAGAAAAGAAAATGAACTCAGGGCTGGAGAGATGTCTCAGGGGTTAAGAAACCTGGCTGCTCTTGCAGAGGACCCAGGTTCAATTCCCAGCACCTACATGGCCCTATTCTGACCTCCCTGGACACACCTGATGCCCATACATACATGCAAGCAAAATACTTATTCACATAAAGTAATCTTTTCTAAAAAACACTTTTTTAAAATATGTCATTGGTTTATTTACAATTTTATTTAGTAATAAGAGTTCAAAAGTTTAATCCAATTTTCAGATCACATCTCTTAAACAATCTTCATTCTGTTAAAGGAATGAATTGAATATCCTCACTTTTTGAGTAGCTGGTGCCTTACTATAAAGAAGGGAGCGGCAAATCCAGATCCAAAGTACACAGTCATCATAGCCAGCAATCGCCACTTGTTTTCCACTGAAAATGGCAAATTCTTCCCTGGGCCCTCCTCGTAGTGGCTGCGATGGACCACGGAGGTTGGCGAACCTCCGGGACACTCTGGCCCAGCATGGCGCCGCGGGGGCTGGTGAGGGCCGCAGGGCTGGCGAGGGCCGCAGGGCTGCCAGGTGGGAGAAACGGCCGCGCTTCCTCACAACCTTGTCTAAAAAACACTTCTTATGTGTATGGGTATTTTGCCTGCATGGATGTCTGTACTATGTGCAGGAAGAGCACACTGAGGTCCTTGGAACTGGAGTTAGACAGTTATGAGCTGCCATATTGGTGCTGAGAATTGAACCTGGGACCTCTGGAAGAGCAGCTAGTGCTTTTAACTGCTGAGCCATCTCTCCAGTCCCCAAATAATCTTTTTTTTTTAATTTTTATTTAATTCTGCATAGAATGAATCCACAAGTTACAAGATGGCATGGTCACAATATAACTTCATATTTACAGATTTGGCCTTTTAGAGAATAGGATAAGGAGTTTACTAGAGAGTTCCAGGACAGTCAGGCCTATACAGCAAGACCATCTCCAGAATGCTACACACGTGCAATCACCCATGTCATTGATGTATGGGCTGGGGCAACCCAGTTTTAAAAAGGTGGGCACGGTGGTGGTGCCCCTTTAATTTCAGCCTGGACTACACAGAAAGGTTAGTCTCAAATAAAGGAGCAAAACAAACAAACAAACAAACAAACAAAAAACCCTGTAAAGTCAAACCAACAGGATTCAAAGCAGATTAAGCTTACCAGCCCTAGCTAGTCTCCTGGAGAAAGGCCTGTGTGGGTTAGACAGATGAGTCCAAGGGCAGGCAACCTTAAACCTTAAACAAGCATTTGGGGGAACTTCAGGTCCAATCCCCAGCATTACAGAGCAGGTTCAGATAGTTTAAGTGGAATGGGAGAAGTAGGAAAAGCTTTCTCCCCAAATCCCCTCCATTCTGATCCACAGACCTGGATGGGATTGACACATAGTCTGAACTCCTCCTGTGGATCACACACAAAAGCTCAGGGGGGAAAGGTGCCTGCTGTGCAAACCTGGTAACCAGAAGTCACCCCTAGAACTCACATTTCAGGTAGGAGAAAGCAGCTCCCAAGTTGCACAGAACACTTTGGTGTTCATGTCAAGGTGTTATGATTTTACCCCCAGAAAGGCAAAATCAGAAACAATCAACATGGCTTTTTTTTTCCAGCAGGATAATGGCAATACTCCCACAAAATGAAGCACTGTAATTGCAACCTACTTTACTCCAAATAATCTTAAGAAAATGAATTTATAGATCTTTAATAAAAAGCTATCCAGAGTTAGTCATGGCATGCACACCTTTAATCCCATCACTTGGGAAGCAGAGGCAGGCAGATTTCTGTGAATGAGTTTGAGGCTAGCCTGATCTGCCTGGGGGAATTCCAGGCTAGCAAAGCTACATAGTGAGACTCTGTCTCAAAACAAACAAATGAACAAATAAACAAAAACTATCATAAATAAAATAAAAAACACAGAGTCCGAATATAACTAGTTTTCAAGGACAATATAGATTTTATTGTTTGTTTTTCAAGACAGAGTTTCTCTGTAGTCTGGAGCATTGTTCTGTGGACAAGCCTGGCCTCGAATCCAGAGATCCATCCCCCTCTGTCTCCCAAGTGCTAGGATCAAAGGCAGGAGTCACCACTGCCTGGTGGTATAGATTTTTTTAAAAGGTCAATATGTAAGTAAAAGATGTTTGATGTCATTATCCACCAGGGAATGCAAATCAGATCTATAAGGCATCCCACCACTCCCACTTACAAAACAAAAAATAACCTCACATAATAAAGAGCGTGTGCTGTGAAGGGCATGGAGGAATTGGGGATCTATCTCTGTGCCACCAGTGGGTTTTGAAACAGCAGCCAGCCGCTGTAGGAAAAAGATAGTTCCTCAACAGTTAAACACAGAATCACTGGGCAGTCTAATAACTGGATAGTGACCCAAGACAATAAGGAAGTGTGATTACACAAAATGTACATAAATGTTTATTGCATTATTAGTGGTGACAATTTAAAAATGTCACCACTAATCACAGCTCAGTGATTACAGCTGGTCAACAGATTTATGCCCACATAGCCAAAAAGAAGCCAGACACAAGTTATGTAATCTCATTTATATAAAATATCCACACACGGACAAGTCTATAGAGAAAGGAAGCTGATTGGTGGTTAAGTTCTGGAAGAGGGAGAAGGATCTCATGGGTACAGGTGGAGGGTGACAAAGGTGTCCTGGATCGGTGGATATGGTTTTGTAACTGATGGTTTTGCCAGCTCAACACAGGCTAGAATCACTTAAGATGAGTCTCTCTCCTCTCTCTCTCCTGTCTCCTCCTCTCCCCAACTCGTTAGGGTTTCTCGGTGTAGCTCTGGCCATCTTGGAACTTGCTCTGTAGACCAGGATGGCCTTGAACTCAGAGATTCACCTACTTCTGCCCCCGCTTCTGCCTCCTGAGCGCTGGGATTACAGGTGTGCACCACCACCTTCCAGCTCATGCCTAGCTCTCTGAGTACCTTGAAAACCCCCAAACTGCATGCCTTCAGTAGGTGTCAAAGGTGTACAGCCCACTAAGGAGGACACACAAAAAATTATAGATCAATTCTTTTTTTTTTTTTTTCCGAGACAGGGTTTCTCTGTATTGTTTTGGAGGCTGTCCTGGAACTCACTCTGTAGACCAGGCTGGCCTCGAACTCACAGAGATCCGCCTGCCTCTGCTTCCCGAGTGCTGGGATTAAAGGCATGTGCCACCAACGCCCGGCTAGATCAATTCTTTTAAGCATCAAGACAAAATCCTAAATAAGAATTAACCAACTAAATATAGCCTGGCAAAGTAAGAAAAAGAAGTCACAGCCAGATAGAACTGAGATAGGGATGCAAAGAGTCCATCAGCATGTTTGCTAGAAAGCTCCAAGCCTTTCTTAGGGAATGAAAGAATGAGTGCATGAATTGGGCTGGGATATGGCAGTTAGGACCCTGGGTTCCACTGCCTGTGTCTTCCCCCATGACAAAGGAAGACAAGGAAAAAAAAAAAACGTCAGCTTGCCCAACACTTGTGAAATTAGCCCCTTTGCTCTTTTGAGCAAGGGTCATTCATTTATGGAACATTTATGGATGGAGCATCTATGCCGTGCCAGGGTGGGGTCAGAAGTCTCCTTCCTGGTCCACGCTGTGCACCTGCTTTCAGC